CTCGAGGGTCACGGGTTAGAATTTCAGTAATTCTACGCCCCTACACGTGTAACCCACGTCGCGAGACACGCTGGACTTTCGCCGGTGTTGAATGTACCTCGCTTCCTGGGCGCCCGGCAAACGACCGAAAAAAATATTTATTTATTCACTTCCTCCACGGCGCCTAGGAGATTCTCGTCGACTAACGCGTTCCGCTTCGTCATTCGCGAGCGTGCGCGAATATCAAACGAGGTCACGCGTATTCCGCTTCATTGACACGCTTCGGTATCGTTGCTTTCTTTCGATCGGTTAGAAGTATACCGCTTGACCCGATTAACATTTATACCTTTACGTCATCGGCATGCTGAAAGTTTTGAGAATGAGTAATATTAGGAAATATGCAACAGTAGGCACAATACAGGAGTATTGCTTTCTTTAGATCGTGTACATCCCCTGGTGTTAATGTCAACATTCATACGTTGACAGTTTTAAGCATCCATCAATAAAGTATTCATAGAAGCATATAAATTATAATCAAGAATAATCGATGCGATCTACAATCAAAGTACATGAACGTACATGAAACATTTGCCAGCAAAGTTCACGCTGAAAGTTTTGAGAATTTTCCAACGCATAAATAAGATAGAATCGAGACATAGGTTCCGAGAATCATGTGGACCAAGCACATCTCGTACAACAATTATTGCATCTCGTAATATTGATGGAGAAACTATGAAAGATGCAGATGGTGAACTTCGATTCTCAAAATTTTCAGCGTGTATCCCCGTCGTAGCAGCCGAAGTAAATCGAACCGTTCGATCTTTCAGGAGAGCGAGATATACCAGAAGTGCGTTCGACCGCCGCCAAACCGGACAGTGTTCGACAGCGAGAGTCCGCCGCCTTATCGAAGCCAATCGGCGTTGTTGGACGCGCCGGATCGGATAGTTCGCTGTCACAGCGCGGGCAGTTCCTTGCTGAGGGTGTTCCGGAAGTTCCCGAGTCCCGGTAGTTCGACACCGGCCGTAGTGGTGCCGCCCAGAAGACCGACCCTGTCCAGTTACTCCGAGTCCAGTAGCAACCTGAGCAATCTCTCCAGCCTAACGGTGGTGCCTTGCGAAGCTGACGAGAGTCAGCAGCAACAACAGCAACCGCAGCAACAATCGCAGCTGCAACAACATCCACAGCAGCAGCAGCAGCCATCGCAACAGCAGCAGCAGCCGCATGTCTGATCCAAGGCGCGGCCGAGGAGAGCACTCGAGGCCACGATGACGACGCCGAGGAGAGAGTTCCCCCGATTAACATTTATACCTTTACGTCATCGGCATGCTGAAAGTTTTGAGAATGAGTAATATTAGGAAATATGCAACAGTAGGCACAATACAGGAGTATTGCTTTCTTTAGATCGTGTACATCCCCTGGTGTTAATGTCAACATTCATACGTTGACAGTTTTAAGCATCCATCAATAAAGTATTCATAGAAGCATATAAATTATAATCAAGAATAATCGATGCGATCTACAATCAAAGTACATGAACGTACATGAAACATTTGCCAGCAAAGTTCACGCTGAAAGTTTTGAGAATTTTCCAACGCATAAATAAGATAGAATCGAGACATAGGTTCCGAGAATCATGTGGACCAAGCACATCTCGTACAACAATTATTGCATCTCGTAATATTGATGGAGAAACTATGAAAGATGCAGATGGTGAACTTCGATTCTCAAAATTTTCAGCGTGTATCCCCGTCGTAGCAGCCGAAGTAAATCGAACCGTTCGATCTTTCAGGAGAGCGAGATATACCAGAAGTGCGTTCGACCGCCGCCAAACCGGACAGTGTTCGACAGCGAGAGTCCGCCGCCTTATCGAAGCCAATCGGCGTTGTTGGACGCGCCGGATCGGATAGTTCGCTGTCACAGCGCGGGCAGTTCCTTGCTGAGGGTGTTCCGGAAGTTCCCGAGTCCCGGTAGTTCGACACCGGCCGTAGTGGTGCCGCCCAGAAGACCGACCCTGTCCAGTTACTCCGAGTCCAGTAGCAACCTGAGCAATCTCTCCAGCCTAACGGTGGTGCCTTGCGAAGCTGACGAGAGTCAGCAGCAACAACAGCAACCGCAGCAACAATCGCAGCTGCAACAACATCCACAGCAGCAGCAGCAGCCATCGCAACAGCAGCAGCAGCCGCATGTCTGATCCAAGGCGCGGCCGAGGAGAGCACTCGAGGCCACGATGACGACGCCGAGGAGAGAGTTCCTCGAGGTCGACGGACGGCGAAGGATCTCGTGGAAACGGCTACGAGCCGGCACGGATCAGCCGGGACAAAAGACGGGAGAAACTAACGAAGAACAGAAGGACACCGGGATCGTCGTGGTCGTTCTGCCCTCGAGAATCCTCGACCCGTCGAGGATCCCTCAAGACTGACTCGCAGGAGAAACTTCGTACACGGGTTCGGCCAGCTGATGATGCCTGGTTAACATGGACGAGGCCGCCGGGGTTCAGGCGTGGTGCGCGGAGAGAATCTCGCCGAGAAGAAGAGAGGACCAAGAGAATTCGAGGAACGATCCTCCACTTCCGGACTGAATGGTCCTTCAACGGAGGACTGCCTGTCGACGCAGCAACACGGGACGAACAGCGGGACGAAATTCGGATTCGAAGCTGGATTTTGCTCCCCTGACGCGTTTCCGGTGATTCGTCACCTTAACGGCAATCCTAACAGGCCAGTCTCTAGCCTAGATCTCAGACGATTCCAAAGCAGTAGACAGACGCGAGTTAACTCGTTGCTCGTACAGAGATTACACGATGGACCACGGAGCTGTCTGTGAAAACAAGCGGAAGATACTAAGGAAATCCGTGGATTTCATGGGGGAAATGTCTCTTCGAAGTACCGAGACATCTACGCCTGGCGACAACGTTGACTTCTTTTGGGGTACTGGTGTAGGGGAATCGCTCCTTGATGCTAGTGTGAACTTGCGAATTTTAGAACTTCCTAATCTTCGAAACATTGAATTCTCAAAGTCCTTAATCTCCAAATATTCTAATTCGCTAATTTCCTAAAAATCTTCTAAATTCTAAAATCTCTATTCTCCACATCCTCAAACTCCCACATATGCAAACCTCTGAACCCCAAATTCACAAACTTTGTAAATCCCCAAATCCTCGAATCTTAAAATTAAAAAGTGTCAGAAGCGAAGAGTATTTCCCCCACACTACTACTCTAGAGAAGTCCACAAAGCTCGCGAGTGTACACGGACACGCAAACACCTTGAGCATGCCCTTATACGAAAAGAGGATGTACGGCGACAACGGAGGGTTGCGGGGTGATGAAAATCCGACGCGCACAGCGACCTTGAAGCAACACCAGCAACGACGCGGGATCTTGAGAAAGGTGTCGAGTATTGGTCCGAGTTTTTGGAAGTTTTCTGTTTCACTGCGAAAAAGACTTAGCAAATTATTTATTGGCGGATTGATCCGCGATGCCGCGGCCCAGCGGAGCGGCGAGCGAGCATGCGGCGAGCGAGACAAACGAGAAATATGGAGGATGATGAGAAAATGGCGGACTAACGAATTCAACAAATTTCAAATTATTTCCGTGTAAACTCATCTTTGTCTGTGTCGAAATTTAATCTCTTCAGAATTGATTTCGTAGTTAGGGAAGGAAATGATCTACTTTTTTATGTGATTATGTTTTAATTATTTTAAACAAATGACAATTGAGTAAAATAATCATCAAATAATATTTAAGAGGATAAACATGTGTCTTTGAATTTTAAAGAACATATGTGTCCTTGAAGAGACTAAATGGTTCGTGATGATTCTAGTGTTTAACTGTTCTATCTTCGCTAATTTTTATATGGTCTCATCAAAGGTTTCATGAAAATTAATGAACAAAGAAAGTGGTAAATTAATCACACCAATGGCTAATGTACATCGACACTTGATATGAACAACATCGTTTAATGTGAATATACAATGTTGTTCACGTTGGGTATCAATATGTGGATTGGTTAATTACATTCTGTTGAGAAGCGAAGATGGAGCGACTAAGAACTAGGATGAAGATGCGAATAGACAGACAGAGATTATGATTGCTTTCCTTTAGTCACGAAATATATTCTCATTCGTTGTCGATTTCAGGCAATTTACGAGACAAGTTATCGAACTTTGACCAGCCATTTTCCCGTCAGCCTGTGTATTATACCCACGTGGAGAGCAGACGACGAGCTGCCAGACGCTAGGATAAATGAATATTCGCGCGAATGAGTGTATTTGCTGTGTATGACGTGCGCGGGGCGTGTTACGTGCTAGAAAATAGAGACGGTCCTGATCAGGTGATTATTATCATCGAGAACGCGTGGCGAGCAAGCGAACATTTTTCTGAATGATTGACTGAGCAAGTGTCTGAGTGAACGAGAGAACGAGCGTTAAGTGAGAGACAGAGGAAAAGTAGTGCCAAGAGCGTAATAAAAGAAAAAGAAAAGATGATGATGACGACGACGACGATGATGATGAAGCAACTCTGTAAATATTAGGTTAGGTAGTTCAATATCAATATAATTATTACGACTAAAAATGATATGCTCTATATACTTGATTAAAAAGTAATTAAACCTTACACCACGCATAAACACGAGTTGGACGGGCCGTTACGAAATCGCCCTGGGACACGCGTTACGCTTCGAGGCCTCCGTGAAAAAAAAAATTATAATTAAAACTCGCTTCGAGCGTCGCGATTGACCCTTTCGATATCTCTTCAGGTTTTCAACCGATCGACCAAAACACGATCCTCTCCGTCCATCGTTTCTCGCGATCCCACGCGTAAACCCACCCTCTCCGTTTCTTTCTTTTTTTTTCTCGAAAAACCCACCCCTCGCTGTTTTTTCGATGCGTGAAACACACGGGAGAAAAGAGAGCGTTCCTTTCGATCGCGACGAGAGAAATGATCGGTATTCACGTTTTAGTGATTGGTAACGGGAGTCGAGGATCGAACGAGCGGATTACGAGAGGGACACATCGATCGGTCGAAGGAAGAGGAGGCGTCGCGACGCTCGATGCTTGCCGGACGCAGTCTCGCCGTGTTTCGAATGGCTCGCACGATGTCTGATATAATGCTACTTTATTATTATTCAGATAGATAAGGCTTCAGTTTTTTGACGAAATAGGACGAGATCTGCCTTGTCGACGAACCGACTGTCGGCGATCCATGTTTCTTTTCATTCTCACGTTTTGTAGATGTTTCGATAAATGAGTTTTCGTTGGTTACTGTGGAGATTCGAGAAAAATGTGAAATACTACACTTGGAGAAAAATCGACGCTGTTGGATACTGTAGATATGGACACCGAGTACAGTTGACTCTCTTTATATCGCTGCGGACGATACAATTGGACAAGTCAAATAGGAACAAGAATAGCAAATATGTCAACGAAGCACTTAAATTTTTCGATGGTTTAAACGTGAACGAAATTGTCTTTCTCTGTAATTTGGAACCAACGCAGAATCAGAAATGAAATAGAAAAATTGAGTCACTGTTCCAATAACTTGTACTGCAACTATGTAACATTTCAAGTCAACTTCTGAACTTAATACAAAATTTGAAAGTACAACCAATCAATGTACAATGTAGTGTTAGTTAACAGCAAATGACATGGAACCAATTGTAAACGATTAAAGAAATATAGAGCATTCGAGTTAAATTATTGAATATTTTCTAAATAAAGGTGTTACGAGTAAATCGGCCATTTTGTCTGCGACAGCCCAATATCTCCCCCATCGGAATAGAATTAATATCTCTGCAGTAACTCAACTTCGTTTTAACATAACCCATGATCAAATCCATTAACCGGAATGTACATTCATAGAATATTCTTGTGCACACAGATAAGACGATCAAAAAAGACAAGACAGCGGCGTCGACTTCGGTTCTCGACCTCGGGACAGAGCGAAACTACTGAAGTATCTCATGAGAAGTCACCAATTATTGTAATCCTTGAAACCGTACGACGAAGGGGTAAAATTCACCATGAAATTACCGACGACTCTCCCTCTCGATTCACGGCTAGTCAACTCGTTGAACGAGGCCACGCTAATCAAATTCACTCGGTTTTCCATCAATTTCCATCAACCCTTTCACGCTCGATATCGCGCTGCATACTTCAATCCGCAAGAATTTACAAGATACAACCACCAATACTTCATAAAATTCATCGCATTTGCTAATTTATGTAAATTATATAAATTATATAAGCTTCGTGCTCTTCATTTATGTCGATTTCACGCGATCTTAATTTGTATAAA